CAATACTTTTGACACACACTGTAAGTCGTCTTTGCATCAGTATCCTAATTGTAAAAAAGTACAAAGGGTTTAGTATGACTTAAATCTACAAATTCATTACATTGATTCGAAAATATACGATTTATGTACCTTAAGCATTGTGTTCCTTGAGCTTAATAAATGGCAGATACATAAATCTAGGAATTCACTGAGACAGCCCAATTGAGCTGTCTACTCTCATGCTTATACCAAAGAATTAGGCAGAAACCATAGTTTATGTAAACAAAGATAATGGCACACTTCAACAACTGTTTTCATTTCTTAGATTCTCACCCTCTATACAACTACAAAGCGAATGTCTTCGAAGCTAAATATACTATATACATAAGGAGCATGTCTACACAGTAAAACATAGCATCTAGTCCTACATAGTAAGAACAGGTGCATTATTCACATACAAAGAGTACATTCCTCGGAACTCCTGGACATCAATCCTGCTGTGAGAACATTGCTATAGGATATTGCATGATCATCTCACTTCAGCTAATAACTGCAGCAAAGACTGTTGACATCTTGTCTATACAGTAGTCTACTAATAATGGGATAAAGACATAGTCCAAAGCACCACAAAGATGTTCTAAAGATAGAAGTTATAATTATATTCTGAGAAGTGAGATATTTCATTTGAACCTATTGCAATCCCGGACACAGTCCAATTTTAGTCTAGCAAACTACTCTCTTTTGCAATACATATTTCACTCGATTAGTAAGCGAAAGGCTCTTGAAGCCTGTTTATGCGAAATTTTAGCAATGTCTTCTGTGTTCAAATTTAGTTAAAAAGGACTTTGAGTTTGGGTAATATCTCTGCAGGATAATGCTAAGAAAGAGGTGCAGAATACAGTTACCACTTATATTACTGGAATGACATAGAAAGTGCCAAGGACACTCAGGGAATTGGTACAGTGGTAGTGTATCTTGCACCAAATATTTTAATAACACAAACTGGATACGGTCAAGATTATTGAATGTTTGCTCCCGTTTCACTCATGCGGTATCGTTCCCTACATATGCTTTAGACATGTATGGTGACAAATGTGCAAGCAGTAGTGTATAGCTGGAATCTTATAGTAATATTTCTATTGGCCCATAGTAGTAATGCACATGGACTTTTCAGTCGACTCTGTTGAGTTGCTGTTGAGGTTGTGTCCACGTCTTGGCTCACAGTATGCAACTTCATGTCTGCAAAGCGTTCCTAATACACAGAGAAAATTTCTATTTTACGCATAAGGTTGTTTAATACTCAATTTCTCCTACTTTAATAATTGAGAATGAATGGTATATAAACAAAGAGCATACACTCTGAGATCTTATATTCTTTAGTCCAAGTCCCAGGTTCTCGGAGTTGTAAGTTTAAGTTCTTCTTTCTAAGCCTCAGCTCATTGAAAGAAGTCACTTATAGGCATACTTGAAAACTGCGCTTCACAAATCGTTTGATCAAATTATGTGTAAGGTCGACATAACTAACTACTGCGATGGATCAAGGACAACAGATGTGAAATACAAGTGCACACGTAACTCTTCAAACCACGGGTGAGTATTCATTTATTATCAGAAAACGAAGAGGGGTGCGTAGTCGGCTGATCCGATCATCCCAGACTTTGTTCGCGGGTGAAGGAAAAACATTACGATAACGTTTGTAAAAGCGCTGACCCAAGGAACTGCAACAGTATTCCCAACCACAAGGACGTCATTATCCAAGGTGACACACGCGATCCAACGAGGGATATGTACTATAAACGCTGTGACGGTTCATACCGTAACGGACATGGTGAGACGCTTAGCGTTGGTAGCAGTCGTCGCAGGTGAAGGGTGAATGTGTGGGTGTTCTCATTAAGCAGCATTTCTGTCGTTCGCATGTCTACAAACGTTCGAGTGCAACTGATAGTCAGAAATAATCAAGAGTTTTAATAGATATGGATGTTACAAAGCTTATAGTAGTTCTGCAAACGAAGAAATTTTGCCTGTTTTAGTAAATCGATATAATCTGTTGTAGCATACAAGTATGTGTTTCTTTATAGAAATGTGATGATTTCAAACAAGTAGGAAACAGAGTATCCGCTCATAAAGAGGTGCCTTGTTGTATGTTAAGGTTACACATTCCAGGATGAAAGGTTGAAATGAGGCGAAGTGCGGCAGGAGCAAGTTGAAGCTTCGCAACACGTGATAAGTTGCCATTTATGGAATGCATTTACGGCATGGCATATCGCTGTCATTGCTCTCCAGTGTTCCACCTGTCGAAATGACTTCCCAGCCTACGAAAGACGGACGAGCCAAGCACAAGTGCTCCGTGTGAAGGAGATAATACGAGATGTCTATCTTATGTAGACAGCTTCTACAAGTGCCGTTTTTCGTGGGGAAGGCCGATAACTGTGGTGGTACACAACACGTGCGTTTGTCGCTGGTTCAAGTTGAAGTCCTCTGAAGTCAACTCTCTCTCTGTATGTACGTTTTCCCAGTTACAGCCAACGATGAATGTAGCGATTCTCCAATTATGTACAGCTCAAGGCTTGCACTGTTGCCGTCCACACGTCTTCGGCTTTACTGTCTGCAGTGTAGACGCCGAAATGGAACGAAACGGATGCACGTGTGTGAGCGTTGGCCAATCAGAGGCAAGATTTACTACGGTCGTGCGACACACATATCAAAGTCAAAACGGAGGCACAGCACGGTTGTTTTTAAATGGACAATGTTCTCTCTCTGCTGACGTCGCCTTCGGTTGCGCACGTTTATGCGCACACGAGCAGTTCTCTCCTTCCCGTCCTCTTATACCTCGCCCTTCGTTATCTCTCTCCACCCCAGAGACACTTGACGCCACCTATTGTCCTCGTCAACCACAGCACCCCGCACAGTTACGAGCACCTCTGGCACACCGTCAATGTATGCAGCGAGCGTGAATCCACCACGGCGTGCTAAGCTCCAGGCCATCACAGCTCTCCCAGCACTGCTACCGTCACCCAATACTTCTGAGTCTCCCTCCCCAAGACTGGTCGCATCCGGCTGTGTGACTGGTCCGCCGAGCTCTGTTCAAGTTCAGCAAGTTAGAAAGAAGCGCGGTCGTAAGCCCGCTTCAGGTAACGGCCCGTCATCGCGCGCAGCGAGGGAAGCAGCTCGTAAAGCCAACCATTCTCGCATCGAGAAAGCCCGCCGTGGAAAGATAAATAATGCTCTCGAGGAGCTGAAAATCCTTGTTCCTCCAGACTTTGCTTCGGCGAAGGAATACGACGATGAGGATGGAGACTGTCATGGTACTCAAATTCTGTTTGCGTCGCTTTGTCATATTTGTTTCCTGACAGATGATGTCCAGAGCCATCACAAGCTTCGCCGACGGTTGGAAAGAAGGCATCCAAGAAGCAACCCGTATCGGAGCGTGAATTCAAGCTCGATATCTTGGAACGCACCGTTCTATTTGTTCGTTCTCTTCTGCAACGAATCGACGCTGCCGAGAGTCAAGGGGATGACGGTTTTGCTGCCACGTCCTGTACTAGATGCTGCTGTAACGAAGAATGCAAAAGAGACGGCGTCGGCAGGAAGCGGAAGCACGCGGACGAAGACGAGACGAATCGGACTTGCAAAAAGCGACAGACGACTGCTGTTCAGGACCTATCCGACGCAGATGAAGAGCTTGAACAATTGTCTGACATTGACGAAGACGGAGATGAAGAAGACGACGAAATGAAAACGGTTGCGACTAGCGACGAGGAGGACGAGATTACAGCAGAGGAGACCGGTCCTGCGGTCCTGCCTCGCTCGCCACGGCACAAGCACGCGAATATCATACAATTACCCCCGATTTCGGAGCTGATTTCGTCAGTAGACAACATGTCATCTCGGCCTAGACAGTTACCTTCACCTTCAACTTCTCCTTATCTCCCTCCGCACGGCAATCAAACTCAGCGACTTGAAGGTATATTCGAGCAGAAACGGGGTGCATTATTGCATCCTTCGCCGTGCTTTTCTCCTCGTCAAATGTCGAGACGCTGCTCGGTTAACTCGGAGTACGGGACGCTAGCAACAACCACGCAGCAGATAGGACAGGATCGAACTGCTCCTTGCCCGGTTGGTATGGCGTACCTCTTGACACCTCCCTCGATGGACTTGAGCGGCCGTTCAACATGTACATCCGCTCCCGCGCTTCGTCTACCTTCCTCAGCGCTACCTTTCAACGTCAAATCCATCGTTCATCACGAGATGGATGGCAGGACCGAAGGTGAAGAAGACGGAAGTGCTCGTACTGCAACACTTGCGCTGTTGCAAATGCGTGGTGCAGGACCGGCTATCTCCAATATGGAAGTTGGAGCCGCGAAAGTAGTGAATGATTCCACTTCAGAAGCGCGTGCAAGGCCAAGTCTTACGCCGGGATGTATTCTTGGGATCGAAACTGAAAAACGGGCATGATACTGTAGTTTCTCTATTCTTGAGTTCATGTATTAGTGTATGATACACGATGTTGTTCAACTAGAGGAATATGTACTAGGTGTATTCATATGTCAGTGGGATTATTGAGTGAATTGTCGTTATCATTCATCTGCTAATAGCATGCACAGGCCGAAATGAAACATACTGTGCTAGATTATGTGACCTTTTTGACTTTGCAAAATTTTTGTTCAAAATTTCAGAGTCTACAACAATCCATAAACTCACACCTGCACTCTGCCTAGTCACCCAGAAACTAATGAATGTAATGATTCTCCCACTTGTATTAGAATTTGAGTAATTATTTTTTTTGAGTGTACATAAATTTCAGTTCTTCATGTTCATGATCTTACATAACTTTACATTAGATAAGAACACATAATGAAATCTGGTAGATACACTTTTGCTATCAATTTCCTTTTTGAATTCAGTGTTGTCACCACACTTGGAATTACAGTCGCCCATATGAATGGTAGTAGGCTAGTAGCACTCCACTCAATTCTTAGTACTTAATGTCTTTTCAGCTTTTAGTCAAATTGGCTCCTGCCCCAGTTGTTCACAATAAAGGGGTAGGGCTAATCCTGAGGGTTGTTGTTGTTCTTCATTTGCAGATATCTTTCAAAGTATTCTGCCCGAAGACTGATGCTACGACTGACACATAGCCGAGGCAACCTGCATCACGTGGCAAAGAATTCACTATTTTCTTTTGAGGAGACAGTACAGCAGTTTGAGGTGACTTTTCATGTAGACGGACGGACCGGTTACACTGATTGTGACACTGAGCGTCTATCATACTTCCAATCCACATGACCTAGATCGAAGCAATACTGAGTAGAGGGCACGGTGTACCCTGTCCCTCCTTACCCATGTCCACCATGAGTGCAATGCTCAACTTCAGGGGTGTGTTTGTCCTCCTGATTCCAGTGTCCCAGGCGAGGTTTAACGTGGATATGCTTTTCAGTGATACGTGTCGACAGTCTACAGTGGGATCGTTCGTTGCACAGCAAAGTACCAAATATTCTTGTCGAAATATGTCTTGGTGGTGTCCTTCGGAAGACGCGTGCGATCAAGGATAAATCACACATTTGGAATGAGACCTTGTCATTGTACGTACACCATCCACTCTGTTTCGACAGTAGGGATTCATGTCAATAAATGCAGCCCGACAGTAGATGTGTCCACGATCGTTACGATCAAGATGCTGCATAAATCATCAATTCCATTTCGCGACGATACTTGTATTGGCTCGATCAACATCGAACTCGTGGAGTTATCCGGAAGATGTATCAACGGGCCGGGTGTGTTTTTACTCGCACTTTCATCTACATATCACTCATCATGAGCTCATCCTAGCTCATCTTCCTTTCGATGCACCTGCGGGAAAGAATTATGGAAAGCCAACTCTGGTCGTTCGTCTGCTGGATGCGACCATCACATCTGTGGATCTCAGCACCGATCTCGATACCGCGATTGAGGCAGTACCTAGAGTGGCCCACCTCACTGGGCCCGATGATTCGGTGAACCAATGTCTGTCGACGCTAAATGAAGAAAGGGATCTGGGGAAGTCTTTATTGGCACTAGTTGAAAAGACAGGAGTACTTGTCAACATCATTGATAAGTTATCTACTGTACGTTCTTGAGGTGCTATAGCTTTTTCTGAATTTGCTCATGAGCTCCAGCTTCATCCATATGTGAACGCGGCTTGGCAGCTGGCGTCAGCATTACTCAAAGTACCTTCGATCCACTTGATACGGTTTGAACGCCTAGACTCATGTATTTCTAGGCCGTGTCTCACCAGATTGAGACAGATGATAAACTCGTCAATTTGGTCTATCTCATGGAGGATACTTACGATTTTGTCACCGATGTCAAATCACTTCCTAACAAGATCGAAAGGATGAAGCGGACAATCGAGAGTCTCTCACAGCAGACAATTGAGTGCTGCAGATTTGTCCTGCACTATACTGATCGCAACTTCCCTCGTATGTCGAACATGTGATGCCGAATTTAGCAAGTAACTAACTTCCACATCAGAGCGGATGCTCCAGATGAGCCGGCCAAAGGTCGACGAGTTCATCGGGCGTTTCGGAGATCTTAAGAGGTCGCTCGAACAAGGCATCATTCTACAGACTGCATTCGTTTCCGCGCGAATCTCGGATAAAGTTGATGATATGCGTAGGTGGAACAGTTTACTATTGAGTCCACAGACTAAGCAGGCTTCGATTAGATTTCAAGGATATGCTCTGCCCGAATGACATGAACGCATTTAAGCGTGGGCGATGCCTTGAAGATACGCGGATAGAGGTTCTAAACGAAATCATGAATTGGCTTTTATCAGACACGGAGCAAAACATCCTATGGTTGCGCGGCGTCGCGGGATCCGGAAAGAGCACGATTGCGACGACGATTGCAGAGCACTGTCGTGAGATGTCGTGCCTTGGTGCATTCCTGTTTTTCAATCGAGTGGATGGTGCTGAGGATCAACTTACTTCTATTTTCCGGACGATTGCATTCCAACTTGCCTTATTTGACTCGTCTATTGCAAGGCAGGTCGAGGCTGCTATTCAGAAGAGCAACCAGATCAATGAGGCTGTTGCAGAAGTGCAGTTCAATAGGCTTCTGTTAGAACCACTCAAAGCAGCGAGAGGTGAGATGCAGGGTCCGGTCGTCATCGTCCTCGACGCATTGGATGAATGTGGCACGCTTAGCGCTCGACGAAAATTGATGTCGCTCCTACAAAAGGAGTTCGGAAAGCTACCCCGCAATTTCAGATTCCTCATTACGAGCCGACCAGAGGATGATATCAACAAAGCAATGTCAAACCACCCGGACTTAGTTTATGAGCTTGCGTTGGATTCAGGATCGGCGGCGAGCAGGCGCGACGTTCTACACTACGTTGACCAGGAGATGCGAAATGTCATAGCAGACGCAGATATATCCATCCCGGAGAGCTGGCAATGGGATACAAAGATGAAAAAGTTAGCCGATGCTTCGGAAGGATTATTTATATGGGCATCGACTGCCATCAAGCTTGTCTTAGAGAGTCCTAGGAGGTTTCGAAAACTGGATGAACTCGTCAATGCATCTCATCAATTGAAGGGTCTTGACCAGCTGTATGACTCGGTCCTGCGGAACTCTGGAGTCATTGCAACGGACGATTCGTCTTCTATAGCTCACTTTGTGCAAGTCTTAGGCCTTGTCCTGCTCAGCCGCGTTCCACTTTCAGACACAATAATCGATGCAATCCTCGGTTTGTCACCCACCGAACCATCGCGTGAAATTCTGTCGAAGCTTGGCAGTGTACTTGTATTCAGACGAGGCGAACCCGTTCATGTACTCCATACCTCATTCGCTGACTACCTCTTATCCACGCACTCAGGCTGCTCCCAACCGGGTAGCCAGCATATGCACCTTTCCAAATGTCCATCCAATCCATGGTTCATTAACAAAGCCTCCCAGCAGTCCACCATTGCCATGCGGTGCTTTATCGTCATGAAGGAAATGCTTCATTTTGACATGTGTGGTCTCGAATCGTCTTTCATACGCAACAAGAAAGTTACCGGGATCGAGGGTCGAATCAACGAGACATTACCGCCGCATCTGCAATATGCGTGCGTGTACTGGGCACAGCACCTCATCGATGCACCGTACTCGTGCGAGCTGTTGGATGAGTTGACAACACTCGCGCGCAAGCGGTTGTTATATTGGTTTGAGGTGGTTGGCCTACTGGGCCTAGTGCGCAGTGTTGCAAGCCGGGCACTCATGGACGCTGCTGCGTGGTCCGAGGTGAGCAACATCGAGCTCAGTTGTGTACTGGCGTTAATTCTCGTCTAGCAGCATGATTCAGACATTTCGTCGTTTCTAAAGGATGCTAGCAGACTTGCCGACGAATTTGCTATCCCTATAGCCGAAAGCACGCCGCATATCTACGTCTCTATGCTCCCACTCATGAAGGGCGAATCGGAATTCGCAGCCCACTACTCGAAACAGACGTCTCGGGTGGTAGAAGTGGATCGAATAGGGACGAAATGGCCACCACTGTGGTTGAGGGTCTTGGAAGGACACTCAAATACTGTTCGGTCTGTCGCATTCTCACCTGATGGGAAGTGTGTCGCGTCAGGCTCCTGCGACGGGACAGTAAGACTCTGGGACATTGAGAACGGTGAAGCGCTATGCGAATTTTTCGAAGAGAATGGAGCCGAGGTCGGTTCCGTCGCATTCTCACCAGACGGCCTTCGCATCGCCTTTGGGTCAGCTCGCGGGGCAGTCACGATTTGGGACATTGAATCGAGGGTGGTGGTCTCAGGATCATTTGAAGGGCATACCGAAGGTGTTTGGGCTGTCGCATTTGCACCTGACGGAACGCACATTGTGTCGGCCTCGATGGACACGACGATAAGAGTGTGGGACGTCAAGAACGGGTCCGCTGTTCATGTTCTCGAGGGACATACGGCTGCTGTACGTTCTGTCACCTTCTCCTCTGATGGGAAGCGAATATTTTCAGGCTCCAAGGACAAGACAATTCGAATCTGGGACGCGATAACTGGACAGGCTATTGACGAGCCTTTCGTTGAGCACACCGACGAAATTCGGTGTCTGGCAGCCTCGCCTGATGGTATGCGTATTGTCTCTGGCTCGCGTGATGACACAGTGATAGTCTGGGACATGGAGAGTAGGCAAGCTGTTGCTGGCCCATTTCGGCATTCAAACATTGTCACTTCCGTCGCATTTTCGCCTGACGGAAGGTGTGTTGTGTCAGGTTCTGCAGATAATACAATCATTGTCTGGAACGTGGAGAATGGTGATATTGTTTCTGGTCCTTTCACCAGCCATGCAAATACTGTTAATTCTGTTGCCTTCTCACCTGATGGGTCACACATTGTCTCGGGTTCCAGTGACAAGACTGTCAGACTCTGGGACGCATCGATGGGCAAGATTGTATCTGACACGTCTGCCAGGCACACAGAAGCAATTGTGTCTGTTGCTTTCTCTCCAGACGGTAGTCGGATAGCGTCAGGCTCATTTGACAAAACAGTGAGACTCTGGGACGCCAGCACTGGGCAAGTAGCTTCTGTACCGTTTGAGGGACATCGACACATTGTTAATTCTGTTGCCTTTTCGTCTGATGGGAAACGAATTGTATCTGGTTCTCAGGATAAGAGTGTCATTGTCTGGGACGTAGAAAGTGGTAAGATGACATTCAAGCCGCTCAAAGGGCACACCGACACTGTTGCTTCTGTTGTCTTCTCTCTTGATGGCACACATATTGTCTCTAGCTCTTTTGACAAGACCATCATTATCTGGGATGCTGAAAACGGTGACATGCTTGCTCAATCTGAACAAATGCACACGACTGCAATTGACATTGTTGCCTTCTCACCGGATGGTACACTTATCGCATCAGCGTCTGTCGACAACGACGTTGTCATCTGGAATGCCGCAGGCGGGAAAAGTGTTTCCGGACCTTTCAAAGCAATTGAAGACAGCAACTTACAGGAGTTTGCGCCACTTGCCTTCTCTCCCGACGGGAGGTGTATTGCCTCGCGCAGTTCGGACAATGATATCATCATTCGTGACGTGCAGAGTGGCCACATCAAGTCTGGACCGCTGGAGGGGCACGGCAACAAAGTCACGTCCGTTGCGTTTTCACCTGACGGGGCATACCTTGTTTCTGCGTCCTACGATCGGACAGTTATTGTGCGGGATGCCAGCAGTGGAAATATCGTTTCTAAACCATATGAAGGACACACCAGTCCTGTTAGTTGCATCGCCTTTTCACCAGACGGTTCACGTATTGTCTCCTGCTCCTTTGACACAACAATACGTATCTGGGAGATAACAGGCAAAGAAGACGATTCTTTAACGACTAGGAGTTTGCAAGGCAATGTAGTACCCTCATGCTCCCACATACAAGACGTCGACGATGGTCTTGCAAGTTGGGCTCTTGCAGACAACGGATGGGTGTTAGGTCCTCAAGGCGAGTTGCTGTTATGGCTTCCACCTGACATTCGTCCGACTCTTTGGCGGCCACAGAACACGGCTGTATTCAGTTGCGAATTTTCCACAAATCTGAATTTCAAGGACGTCGCACATGGCTGGTGTTGGCATGAATGTTTCAATCCGGATGTACAACTTTGACTGTTTTTTTCCTTCCATTCACTATTATGTATCTCCAATATTACTAATCTATCCTTTTATAAATGCTCTTTGCTGCTATAGCTGAGAACATCCTTGTGTAGTTTTGCAAATTGAGCAGCAAGTAATGATAATCGTTGCTTAGACATGGAAGCGGTTTTATTAGTTTGCTTAGTACTATCTTGCAGCTTCTTACCATTCTTGGGACATTCATTCCATTCAAGCTTTGAATCAGCAAACGAACAACACAGAAGAGCTGTTGTATATACATACCAGTTGTCTGTTTATTTAAACAGTGAAATTTCCACATGGGTTGTTGAGATAGCGATCGCGAGCTGGGTAAACCCGAAGACACATGACTTGACCGTCGCGTTTGAGTGGATTTTATAGTCCTCCGTCGGAGGTTTACCTTTACTCGAGCGTCCACTGTGCTTCCAACAACTCATAGGATCCAGATTGAGGCGACGCACATGGGTGGAGGGAGGTACGTCTACTTCCACAACGTGCACCATGCTCAACGTACAGGGTATGTCCTTTCACTTAATCCTGGGGGAACCTGTCGGCGGCTACATCGACATGTTTCTTCAGTGATCCGTGTTGATAGTGTGCGGTGGAATCGTTCACTGCACAACAAAGTGTCAAACGTCTATGTCGAAATGTGTCTTGGAAGAAGACGCGCACGGTCAAGGACAAATCACAGACTTGGAACGAGACCCTGTCATTGTTTGTGCGTGTATCTCTCTCCGCTTTGAATTCGACATCAGGAATTCATGTCAGTGGTATAGCCCAGCAGCAGATCCGTCCACGATCGTATTTATCAAGGTCCTGCATAAATCGGCGATCCCATTTCGAGATGATACATGCATCGGTACGATCGATATAGAACTCGGCGAGTTATCCGGAAAATGTATCAACGGGCCGGGTGTGTTTTCACTTTCCCTTTTCATCAACGAATTGCTCACCATACGCTATTCCTAGCTCATCTTCCTCTCAACGCACCAGTAGGGAAGAATTACGGAGAGCCAACTCTTGTTATTCATCTGTTGAATGCGACTGTCACATCTGTGGATCTCGGCCCTGATGTCAATACCGCGATTGAGGCAGTACGTAGGCTGGACCACTCTGGTGGGACAAATTATGTAACGGAGCAAAGGTTGTCGATTTCGGATGAAGAGGGAGATCTGGGGAAGTCTATCTTAGCACTAGTAGAAAAGACGGGAATTCTAGTTAAGGTCGTTGACAATTTATCCACCGTATGTCCTTGAGTATCTATAAATTCGACAGAGTTTGCTCATCAGACATAGCTTCATCCATATGTGAACGCAGCTTGGCGGCTGGCGTCAGCATTGCACAAGGTACCTTTAATCTAGCTTGATATATTCTGATATACCTAGATTTATGTATTCTCTAGGCCGTGTCCCACCAGATCGAGACAGATCGCAAAGTCGACCATTTGGTCATTGTCATGGCGGATGCCTATGATTTCGTCATCGATATCAAATCACTTCCGAGCAAGATCGAGAGGCTGAAGCAAACAATTGAAAGTCTCTTGCAACAGACAATCGAGTGCTGCAGATTTGTCCTACACTATACTAATCGAAATTTTCCTGGTATGTCGATTGTTTCATGAAATCAATGGGAAGCTAATTCTCGATATCAGGACGGATGATCCAAAAAAGCCGGACAAAAGTTGACGAGTTTATTGAGCGTTTCGGAGAATTCAATAGATCACTTGAACAGGGCATAGCTCTACAGACTGCATTCGTTTCCGCGCGGATCTCCGACAAAGTTGATGATTTGTGTAAGTAGAACAGCATGGTAAAGAGACTGGACTGAGTAAGCTTTGTTAGATTTCAAGGATGTGCTCTGTCCGAATAACATGAATGCATTTAAACGTGGTCGATGCCTTGAAGATACACGGATAGAAGTTCTAAACGAAATCATGGATTGGCTTTTATCGGACACAGAACAAAATATCCTATGGCTGCGAGGCGCTGCGGGGACTGGAAAGAGCACGATTGCGACGACGATTGCAGAGCACTGTCGTGACATGTCGTGCCTTGGTGCATTTCTGTTTTTCAACCGAGTCGATGGTGCTAAGGACCGGCTCACCTCTATTTTCCGGACGATTGCATTCCAACTTGCCTTATCTAACTCGTCTATTGCGAGGCACATCGAAGCTGCTATTCAGAAGACCAACCAAATCAGCGAGGCTGTTGCGGAAGTGCAGTTCAATAGGCTTCTATTAGAACCACTCAAAGCAACAAGAGATGAGATGCAGGGTCCGGTCGTCATCGTCCTCGACGCGTTGGATGAATGTGGCACGCTTAGCGCTCGACGAAAATTGATGTCGCTCCTACAAAAGGAGTTCGGAAAGCTACCCCGCAATTTCAGATTCCTCATTACGAGCCGGCCAGAGGATGATATCAACAAAGCGTTGTCGAATCGCCCAAACTTAGTTTATGAGGTCGCGTTGGATTCAGGATCGGCAGAGAGCAGGCGCGATGTTCTACACTACGTTGACCAGGAGATGCGAAATGTCATTGCGGACACAGATATATCCGTCCCGGAGAGCTGGCAGTGGGATATGAAGATGAAAAGTTAGCCGATGCTTCGGAAGGCTTATTTATATGGGCATCGACTGCTATCAATCTTGTCTCAGAGAGTCCTGGGAAGTTTCGAAAACTGGATGAACTCGTCAATGCATCTTATCGATTTAGGGGTCTTGACCAACTGCATGAGTCAGTGCTAAGAAACTCCGGAGTCATTGCAACGGACGATTCGTCTTCTATATCTCGCTTTGTGCAAGTCTTAGGCCTTGTCCTGCTCAGCCGTGTTCCACTTTCAGACACTGTAATTGATGCAATCCTTGGTTTGCCGTCTACCGAACCATCGCGTGAAATTCTGTCGAAGCTTGGCAGTGTACTTGTATTCAGACGAGGCGAACCCGTCCATGTACTCCACACATCATTCGCCGACTACCTCTTATCCACGTGCTGCCCCCAACCGTGCCGCGAGCATAAAAACCCTTCCAAATGTCCATCCGATGCATGGTTCATGGACAAGGCCTCTCAGCAATCAGCCATCGCCATGCGATGTTTTATCGTCATGAAGGACATGCTTCATTTTAATATGTGCGATCTCGAATCATCTCTTGTATATAACAAAAATGTCATCGGGATCGAGGGCCGTATCAACGAGACTTTACCACCACATCTGCAATATGTGTGCACGTACTGGGCACAGCACCTTGCTGAAGCTCGGTATTCGCACGAATTGTTAGGCGCACTAAAGGCATTCGCGTACGAGCGCCTGCTATACTGGTTTGAGGTTCTTAGTCTGCTGGGTCAGGTCGGTCGAATTGCAAGCCGAACACTCCTGGTCGCCGCTACATGGTCCGAGGTGAGTGCGGTCTGCTGGGATCCTGACCAAACACTGATCCTTGTCTATAAGTATGATTCAGACACTTCGTCATTTTTAAAGGATGCTAGCAGACTCGCCTCCGCATTCGCCGTACCCATGACCGAAAGCACACCGCATATCTACGTCTCTACGCTCCCACTCATGGAGGGCGATTCGAAGGTGGCTGCTCACTACTCCAAACAGACATCTCGGATGGTGGTAGTCGATCGAATAGGGACGAAACGACCACCACTATGGTTGAAAGTACTGGAGGGACATTTGGATAGCGTTAATTCTGTCTCATTCTCGCCTGATGGGAAGCGTATCGCGTCGGGCTCCCGGGATGGAATAGCCAGAATTTGGGACATTGAGAGCGGTGAGGTGCTATGCGAATTTTTTCAAGACGATGGATTCAGTATCACTTCTGTCGCATTCTCCCCAGACGGCCGTCGTATCGCCTCCGAGTCGTGGGACGGGACAGTCACAATCTGGGACATTGAGTCGAGGGAAGCGGTCTCCGGGCCATTTAAAGGGCACACCGAAGGTGTGTGGGCTGTCGCAGTTTCACCTGGCGGAACACTCATTGCATCGGCGTCGGAGGACAAAATGATAAGAGTGTGGGACGTCAAGAGCGGGTCCACCGTCCATGTTCTTGAAGGACATACTGCTGCTGTACGTTCTTTCGTCTTCTCCTTTGACGGGAAGCGAATCGTTTCGGGCTCATATGACAAGACGATTCGAGTCTGGGACGCGACAACAGGGCGGGCCATTGGTGAGCCTTTTGTAGGGCACACGGACGAAGTCTGGTCTGTGGCAATCTCGCCCGACGGCAAGCACATTGTCTCTGGCTCAAGTGATTTCACAGTGAGAGTCTGGGACTTGGAGAGCAGGAACGTCGTCACTGGCCCATTTTGGCATTCGAACACTGTCACTTCTGTCTCATTTTCGTCTGACGGAAAGCGTTTTTTGTCGGGCTCTGCTGACACAATCGTAGTTCGGGACGTGGACATCGGTGACATTGTTTCTGGCCCATTCACTGGTCATGCAGATTATGTTTCCTCTGCTGCCCTCTGATGGGTCACGTATTGTCTCGGGATCCAGTGATAAGACTGTCAGGCTCTGGGACGCATCGATGGGCAAAGTTGTATTCGACACCTCTGCCAGGCACACAGAATTAGTTCTTTCTGTCGCTTTCTCTCCAGATGGCAGTCAGATAGTCTCGGGCTCGGTTGATAAATCAGTAAGACTTTGGGATGCTAACACAGGAGAGGTAATTTCTTCACCATTCGAGGGACATGGGCACTTTGTCAATTCTGTTGCCTTTTCACCTGATGGGAAACGAATTGTCTCTGGTTCTCGCGATGAGAGTGTAATTATCTGGGACGTAAATGATGGTGAGATGGTATTCAGGCTGTGCAAAGGCCACGCAGATAGGGTTACTTCTGTCGTCTTCTCTCCTGACGGCACACGTATCGTCTCTGGCTCTTCGGACAGAACTATCATTGTCTGGAATGCCGAAAACAGGGACATAATTTCTCGTTCAGAACAACTGCACAAGTCTGCAATCTGGACTGTTGCCTTCTCACCAGATGGCACATTTATTGCGTCGGCGTCCGTCGAAAACGATGTCATCATATGGATTGCCGAAAGTTGGAAACGTGTTTCCGGTCCTTTCAAAGCATCCAAAGACAGCACTGAACAATATTTTGCACCACTTGCCTTTTCTCCTGACGGGAGGCGGGTTGCCTCGCGCGACTCGGATGATAATATCATTATTCGTGACGTGCAGACCGGCCACATCGAGTCTGGACCGATGGAGGGGCACAGCGACATAGTCCCGTCTGTTGCATTCTCACCTGACGGTGCATACCTTGTTTCCGGGTCATACGATCGGATGGTTATTGTTTGGGATGCAAGCAATGGAAGTATTGTTTCTGAGCCGTACAAAGGACATACCAGTCCCATAACCTGCGTTGCCTTTTCACTAGATAGTTCGCGTATTGTTTCCTGCTCTTATGATGCGACAATCCGTATTTGGAATGTACTGGGCAAAGAAGGTTATTCCTCCATGACAAGAGGAGTGCCAGACAACGTGGTCGCCTCGTACTCATCCACACAAGACGTCAACGAAGGCTTTGTGAGGTGGAAATTGTCTGACAATGGTTGGGTATTAAGTCCACAAGGGGAGTTACTTTTATGGCTTCCTCCCGACATTCGTCCGACTCTCTGGCAGCCACAGAATACAACTGTTTTCAGTTGCGAATTTTCCACGAAGTTAAATTTCAAGGACGTTGCACATGGCCAGCGTTGGCAAGAGTGTTTCAATCCGGATGTGACTTGACTATTACTTCCATTCACTGTTATATACCTCCAGTATTGTTGGTCTTCTTTATAAAATCACTTTTGGTCTCCTTAGCTCAGGATGTCCTGTGCAGGATTATCAAATTGATCTTGCCCTCTTGTTTTTTGTTTTTTTTTGAGTATTGTACTAGCATAGTAGTGTTCCAGCAATGACACATTGTACTGGAATGGGATGGACACAAGTAGAGCAGTAGATGGACATTGATCCTTCATTAGACATAGAAGCTGTTTTTATTCGCTTGCCGTCTTTTGATACTCATGGCTGTGGAAAGTCTACTTGTTTCTCTCGAGTTGTGAGTCAGTTATCAATACGACTCGGTTATGTCATTTGTGTTGTTCTATTATGTTATGTAGGCCATCCTGGTCTGATTACCCATTTAGAGATTCGGGTCACGCAACAAAAGCACAAACAGAATTGAGCCGCTTGACCTTCGATCGGCAGCTCGAGCTGCGTATCTTCCTCAGGACTTTCCATCTCTCCAGGTCATGGTATCATTCTGCAATGTGAGTGCTCTATATCACTCATTGGAATAGATCAATGCGGCTTTCAGTAACGATAGTTTTCACATACTAGGGCAAGAGAATGCATCTGAGAATTGCATCGACAAATTACATCGATATTCTCTATAAATAACTCTATTGCTCAAAGCGATTAGTCGGTATCCTCATTTCATTGTGTTTTATTAACTCACAATCTATACTAAGTCGTAGTGCATCGGATGCGAGCCCTCTTTCCCTCATATTCAAATGCAAGCAAAAGATGCCCATCGCACGTACGGTCCGGATAGCAGCTCTGCATTTTTTATTTTTTCCGCCCGTGAATCCCGACACTTGGGGACGATGCAACACTCTGCATTACCAAACCATATTGTCCTTTTCGACCGGCAATCTCGAATTTCCGAACCGGACCTTGCTACCTCGTCAGCAAGTCTATGGAACGATCGATGTACACGATGCCTGACTAGTAGTCTATTCAGCGCTCTGCTTTTTCTTCATCAAGTTTCAGGACGTGCCTTGCGTCGCCGAACATGGAAGGTCTGACAAGGGATGTCACCTACGAGTATAGTGTGCTGTGTATGTCTGTCCACATGTCTTTGAAATGAGCGTTTTGCATATTCACTCAGTAATGTAATATTGCATCCGATTTGAAGTGGAATATCGCGCGGGGTATGTCCACCAAGCTCGTTACAGGACCCGTTGTCGTCGGCAGAGCTTACAAGATCGAAAGTGCAATATCCGTCAATGTATCCGTTTCAGATGGACGCTCGGCTTAGGTGCGGTCCAGGCGGCGTTCTCGAATTATTTCACTCTATAAAACATCGCTTGTCCGGATGGGAATTCCCATTGTACAGAGTAATCACACGACACGGCGAGGAACGCATTCCACCCTGTCCTGAGATAGCGTCTCCTCGTTTTCCGACATCTCCATATTTAATGAAACTAGTACGTTTCGAAGTGAGATCACAGGCCTGAGTGATTTCAGAGCAATAGTATAAAGGGCATGTAAATCGCAAGGCAGGCTAATGCAGCATCGAGCAGCAACAAAAGTCACGATGAAGTCTTCGATCCATACTCGTCTCTTCTATGCTGTTCTGGCAAGTGCCGTTGCTGTCTTACATGTCTCTGCAGTGTGCCCAGCAGGGAATATAGGAGTCAGCATCCAAGTGGAGCCTTTCAACATTATGGGTGCTCGTGCAGAGGTAAGTCTTTTGCACTGTTTTTACTGTCGTTTTCATAAATATTGTCACACGCGCGATTCGTGATTTTCGTCACACTAAGTACACTCAAATACAAAATCTACTATAACTCAACTAATACTTAACCAAATTACATGATCTAAGCTGTAAAAATTATACTTTTGAAGTATCTTTCATATTCCAGAAAAAATAAATTAAAATGATCAAAAATTGAGTAAGATACAACACAATATGTGAGTTTTCCCTATATTTCATGTATATGAGTTTTCCTGGCCCTAAAACTGATTGTACACTACTATAAACTAGTCTAAAT